AAAGCGCCACAATGCTTTCCACAGTGGTTGCACCATTTTACACTCCCACCAACAGTGAATAAGGGTTCCAGTCTCTCCACAACCTCGCCAGCATTTGGTGCTTGCTGTTCTGTTAAATTTTGCTAGTCTTACTGGAGTGAGATGATATCTCATGGTTGTCTTGATTTGCAAGGTTTTATGTTAGTCTTCCAAGGCCAGGTGCTTTTATAGAAACCAAACCATTGAGTCATAAAAACAAACAAACAAACAAACAAAAAACAGTTGCTCAAACACACAAAAACACACCTCAGACTCATTTTGAGTTTGGGACTGACTTATAGCTGAGCCTCCTTTGGATTTCCAAGGAAGAGATTGTCACTATTTCTCCCTCGGAACTGTTGGGGGATTTGAACCACCAGAGAGGAGGCCCTAGGGGAAGCACCACAACTCACTATAAAGTCTGCCACCAGAAGTTGTTGTGTGCTGTCAAGTTTGAACTGACCCTTTGGAGGGTTTTCAGAGGCAGTTAATTGCATGAGAGGAGATTACCCATCTGTCTCACGTGGAGCAGCTGGTTGCCTGGCACTGTGTGCCTTTGAGATTGCAACACAGCTTTTTTGCCAGTAGGCCACCAGAGTTACCTGAAGAGCCACCACTAGGCCACCAGAGATCTACCAGAATAGCCACCACTTTTGCTCTCCCACCAGTGGCCTCGGCCTGAGGTGAGCTCCCAAAATAGTTTGATACTCACTAGACTAAGAAAACCTTACAAGATCATGCAAATCAAGAAGTTCTGATGTCAGCGTCTGTTTTAAGAACTATGGAGACCATTGAGTGCGTATCCAAAAAGCCACTAAGGGTTTCACTTCTGTGTGCCCTGGCCAAACAGTGGGGTTGGACACAGTGTTGGTGGCCCAAAAAAGAGTGCTGGATTTTTGTGGCACATGCGCAAAAAAGAGTAATGCTGAATTTTTTTTATCTGCTTTTTTACAAAAAATTATTATTTCAATGAAAATTTACAGAGACTTTGGGTTTCCATTCATTCATTGTTGCACTTTTCTTCCCTCCCAGCCCTCCCCCCTAGTACACTACCCTCTTGGAAAAGTAAAAGAAAAATTCTTTCATTGTTTTACAAATCCTCCCCCAGGTCCACTCCACTATGCAGCCTTCGCTCTGGAGTCCTGTCATGACAAAAATACCTAATCACATACCTCTTTTAAAACAGTTTTCTCCCTTATCTATTTCAATGCAGTATACATTATTGAACCCATCTTTCTCAGTCTCCCCCCAACCCCGATGTCAGTCCTGTTTTACAACAGTGGCACCATGCAGTATTTGTCCTTTTGTGACTGAGATACTTTACTCAGCATAATGTTCTCCAGGGTCACCCATTTTAAATAATATTGCATGAGTTCCTTGTTTTTCAATGCAGTGTAATATTCCATTGTGTGAATATACCACAGCTGCTCTGTCCATTCATTTGTTGGTGGGCACTTAGGTTGTTTCCAATTCCTTGCTATTGTGAACAAAGCCACAATAAACATGGGTGTGCATATATCTGCTTGGATGTCAGTTATGGGGTATATTCCCAGTAGTGGAATTGCTGGGTCAAATGGTATTTCTCTTTGCAACTTTTTGAGAAAGCGCCATACTGCCTTCCACGGTGGTTGCATCAAGTAATGCTGAATTTAAGTGTTTAGATTTAGACCCTCTGGTCATTGAGCACATCCAGGTAAACAAAGCTCCTGATGTGTCTGCAACATACAGAGGTCATGGTTGAATTAACTTGTACAAGACTCCTCCTGACACACTGCGATGATTCTTCCTGAAAAGAGATAGATTACTCCCGAACTGGGGTAGGAAGCTGCCTAGAAGAAAAATAGATCCCAGAAGAAACTGGTGAAATAAAAACTAAAGGCTCTGAAGTTAACAAATAAAAAATATTTCCAAACTTAAATAGCAGTTGCAAGTGTTTGCTGAATATTTTATCATATACTGAACCTACAATAAGCCGATGAGATAGATGCTATCGATTTTCTTTTACAGGTTCACGGAGGATAAGTGACTTTTATAGAGGCACACAGTCAGTAAATAGTAGTAGATTGGAAGCCGTTGCTCCTAGCCACACGCTCCAATATTTGAACTACAGCACTGTATTGTAGGGCGGGAATTCCTACCGTTAATTTAGGAAGCAAACCTGTTTTTCCAAGGTGTGACCTGTTTGAGTACTGAAGTTGTAAACTCTCTGGAAACACTAAAGCCTTGGAGATGGCGTTCATTTTGTTTCTCTTTCTCATAATTTCCAGGCATAGTTAGGCAGGGGGAGAAGAATGAAAAGGGTGGGACAGATACAGTGGAAAAAGAACGGTGGGCTATGAAATAAGATGTTGTTTCTTAACTGTATATTCTTGGGAGATGACTTTTCCTCCGGAGGCCTCAGCTTCTCTTGCTTTAAGAGGTGTATATTGCAGATTTAAAAACTCTCGAGCAGTTTGCATTTTTTTTAAAAGCTTATAAATTGTGGGGTTTTTGATCATAGCCGCCATCTGCACATGGAATCACATTTGTGGGTTTACTTACCCACGGAGTGTTCTATACAAATGGACTTGCTCATGCACTAATCTGCAATTTTTAAGGTGGAATTTATTTAACTTATAACTGTTGTTATACGCCACCAAGTTGGGACCAACTCATAGCAGACACTCCAGTAGGTTTTCAGAGGCTGTAAACTGCACATGGGAGGAGATGACCCGTCTTTCTTCTGAGGAGCAACTGGTGAGTCAAACCGCCTGCCTTTGGGTTGGCAGCACAACTCTTTACCACTAGACCACCAGAGCTCCCTGACTTACAATTAGAGATTTGCTAATGAAATATACTTTTAAATATTTCACTTTGGCTTATCATGGAGTCTTATTACTTTTGTTTTTTACTGGGGAGGGGGAGCTGGTCTTGTTTTGGTTTTGCTAATGAAGAAGCAATAAAATCTTTAGTAAAGGAACTATCAGCATTGTAGACAAAGATAGTGGATGTGATTTCTGGGATCACCACGTTGAACAGATAAGGAAATCACTCATTTTTAGAAGAGAAGCTGAGAAAAGAACCTGCACTCCTTCTCCTCCAGCTGCTGTTGAAATGGAATGTAGGGAATTCACTTGGGCTTTTGTCCTGAGCAGTTTCTGTCATTTCACTTTTATCATCTGTCTATGGAAGCTTTGTCCAGATGGAATAAAATGCCTAGCTTCCTGTGAATAAGTCAGCTTCTTGAGAGAGAGGTAAGAAGCAAATGGATCCAGAAGTGACGTATCATGAGGTGTCTTCATTGACTTCTCAGAGGCCTGGGCTTAGCTGGAGTCCAGGTTGCAGTCCTAGCCCAGGTACATGTTCTGCGGCCGTTAGGAAACAAATCTGACTCTTGCTGCTCGAGATTCACTGTGTCATTTTGATGAGGTCATTCTTCAAAGAATGAGGCCTCACGATCTTTATCTACACAATGAGACCTCTGTTGCCCAAGGTCACTTCCAGTTCTAATAATCTTTGAACTCCTTTCCAACGTCAAGTCCTGACCACGCTGTCTGGTGTTCGTTCAGGAGTGGGAACAGCATGCTGAGTAGTGACACTGCTGGAGCTACAAGATTTTCAACAAGAGGAACTTCTGTACATCTTTCTTTGTCTACAGAAATGTTAGTGAGCAGAGACTTGAGAGGGTTTCATGTAGTCTTTTTATGATGTAGTTCTTTGAAACCGTTTTGGGAGGTTGAAGGCTGACTGGCAATAGATAAGCCCAGAATGAGAGCTTTTATAATCCGATGGGGGCTCTGATGGCCTAGTAGGCAAAGAGTTGACAGCAATGAGTTGAGTTTGTATCAGATGTTGCAGTCAGTAGAGATGATGAACTGAACTGGAAAGCATTTGCAGTTGAGTTGACCCTTACAGAAATCAGAGTAGAACTCTGTTCCAGAGGATTTTTGTGTCTACCAGAGTGTAGGAACAACCCATATCTGACCCTCCAGCAGATTTTCAGAGGCAGTTAATTGCATGGGAGGAGATTGCCCATCCTTCTCCCAGGGAGCATCAGGTTTCTTTGAGCCTGTTGCCTTTGGGAATTGCAGTGCAGCTTCTTGCCACTAGGCCACCAGAGCTCCCTAGAGGGGTTTTAGTAACAGACTATTTTTTGGAAGGAAGTGTCAATGCTTTTCTCCTTGGATCCCTCCGGGTAGACTTGAACTTAAAGGCCTTTCAGTTAGTTGAATGTATTAACTATGTCCACCAGCCAGGGACTCTAATGATCATCAAGGCTGAGGCAACTCCAAGTTTTGTTTGTAGGACTCTTTGCCCTAGAACTTATTCAAACAAAGTGGCATGCAAAAAAGCACAAGTGCAAAATAGCTAACCCTAAGAGAGCTATTGTTGAGGTCAGAGGAAGGGCACAGTGCCCTGCCTCCTGTCCCCCAGACTCTTGTTTTTGTTGTTAGGGAGCGATGCTATGAACAGTACGTTTGAACCTTGCCCTGTCCTGCAACATCCTCAAGGTCTCTGACGTGCTTGAACCCATTGGCACAGTCCCGGGGTCAATCTATCTGGTCGAGGGTCATCCTCTCTTTCTCTGACCTTCCACCTTTCTGAGCATACGCTGACTTTTTTCCAAGTGTGCCTTCTTAAGAACATGCATGCCCTAAATATATGAGAAGAAGTTTCACCATCCTTGTCTCTAAAGAGCACTCTGGTTGCACTACATCCAAGACAGACTTGTTTTTTCTTTTGACAGCCCTTGGGATATTCAGTACTCTTCTCCGACACCAGAATTTACTCAGAACCATCTTCTAAGCATGAAGCTAGCTCAGACTGTTTTTCGAATAAATGGAAAAACTGAGCATAGGAAGTGATTTATCCGAGATGGCACGGTTAGTTAGAGGTAAAACAAAAATCCAGCTGTTTCTTAAATTGGGACCCGCTGTTCAGTTTACTGAGCTTTGTAACTTAAAGCAGCTCTGGTAGCCTAGTAGTAAGGAGTCCTGCTGCCAGCTCAACCAGTGGCAGGTGGTTCGAATCTGCCAACTACTCCACGGGAGAGAGATGGGTCTTCTCTTCCCATGTAACTTAAAACTTCTAAAAGCCGGCTGGAGGGTCCTCTAGGAGCCAGTTCTGACTTGATAGCAATTAGTTGTTGATATTACTCTCTTTGATGAATTATTTTTCAGTATTACAGTCTAAAACAAAACAAAGCAGAAATATGCACTGTATTTTTTTAAGAGGAAAAGTAGAGAAATGTCATTATGTCAAACAGCTTTATTTTTCATTCCAGACTTTCTGTCTTCTGTTCCTTTTCTTTGAAGCTCCATTACATTTCTCAATTGCACATTGTTTTTAAAGAGAATGTCTTAGCATTTCTGCTTTCTCTGAGAATCCGGGTCTTTGAAAGGAATCCTAATGTGTGTTCCAGGAGTGTGGAGCTGACTGTGCCAAGTTCCAGAAGAGCGAGCTGGAACACAAGTTTAACCGGAAGGCCTTGGAGAGGCCGTACACGTCGAAGCATTCCTGGGGGAAGACCTATGGGGAGCACAAACGCCACCTGGAGTTCAGCCATGCCCAGTACAAGGAGCTGCAGAAATACGCCCAGGAGATCGGCATCTTCTTCACGGCCTCCGGCATGGACGAGGTGAGCTCTCGGCTGCTCTGCGCTTTGCCACTTTACACCCAGGAGACTGCAGGTGGCCTGATGGCTGTTGGCTTTGAGCCACGTCCAGCCCTTGCTCACCGTTCCGTGCCCAAATAAAGGGGGGCTTTGGGAGAGCTTGTGATAAGGGAACCCTAGTTTAAAAGACAAGTTGCTCCATGAGAATGGGGGACAGCCAAACTGGAGTTCCTGAGTCACCCAGCCTTGTCAGGACGACGATCTAGGAAGCTGGAATTCTTGCTAAGTGGCCTCATTGGGTGAGGTGGCAGTGGTGTCATTCAGAAGGGAGGGGCGTACACATGGTGTGGTTTCTGGCTTGGCCCTCTTGACATCCTGGAAGAGTCCAGCTGGTACCAGGTCTGGGGTCCCAGCAACTCTGTGACCGGCCTCCTTAGTATTCTTTAGTTTGTTCTTGTTTTCAAATGTTTTATGTTTAGAAAACTTTAAAAAAAACACACCAAAAAAACAAACAAAAAAAAGCCACCCTCAAACTTCTGACACATATTCCTTATGCAGTAGCATATTTTACCGTCTGTCTGTAATAGTTCTGTGTCATGCATTTTTCTCAGTTAATATTGCACCACAAGCATATACCTCCATTTTGTGCTTAAAGTTTTTAATTTTTAAAAAATTTTTTTTAAATTGTATTATTTTTCCATGTACCATCAAATCAGATCTGACTGGTATAGGAGGAGATTGCCCCCTCCTTCTCCTGCAGAGCATCTGGTGGAAAGTTTTTAATTTTTATAATATTTTATTTAAAAGATGCTTTGGAACATACATGATCATTTCATTAATTTTGATTATGGAAATTCCTTTAGTTTTTCATGCTTATAAATAATGCTGAGATGAACATCTTTTTTCCTGTGCTTTGATTTTCTTACTCTGGTTTCCTAGAAATGGATTATTAGATGACACCTAAGAACATTTTTATGTGTCTTGGATGTTTGGATTCTTTGGTCAACCAGAGGGAGCTCTGGTGGCCTGATGAGTAGGGAGTTGCACTACCAACCCAAAGATGAGTGGTTTGAATCCTCCAGGCACTCCATGGGGAGAAAGATGAGACATTTCCTTCTGTGCAATTTAAAGCCTTTAAACCCTGTTGAAGGGACCTCTGGTGGCCCAGTGACAAAGAGCTGTCCTGCCAACCTGAAAGCATGTGGTTTGAATCCACCAGCTTCTCCATGGGAGAAAGATGGACAATCACCTGTGCAATTATGTTGTTGTTGTTGATTGCTGTCGAGTCGAGCATGGCTCCTAGTGACCCTATGAAAAAATGGCCTGAAGCCCCTCTACAGCTATCAACATTTATCAAAGTTCATAGAGTTTGCATGGTGTTTAAGAAGGGGATGCCACTCCTGCTTCCACGTGTAGTTACCCTGCATCTGAAGACCCACTGGAGGGTCAGCTGTGAGTTGGTTCTGAGTCAGTGATGTACAACAACAGCACGCAGACCTGCTGGAGGGTCAGCTAGGAGGTGGTTCTCACTTGACAGTAAAATTTTCAAAATTTTGTTTATTTTATTTTGATCAAATTGGCTAAAGTATACCCAGTTCATTCTTTTTTTTTTGTTCTACTTTATTTTATTGTGCTTTTCATGAAAATTTACAGAAAAGTTGAATGTTCATTGATTAATTGTTGCACATGTTTCTCCCTCCTCCTCCTTCTTCAGTTACCTTTTCTAAATTATTATTTGTTTTCTCCTCTTCTTTTTGTTGTTGCACTTTTTCTTCCCTCCCTCCTTTCCTCCCTAAGCCCACCCGGCAGTGCACCCCTTGTTCTAGATTATTGTCATACGTATAATGCCTCATCATATGTTCCTCTCAGACAGTTCTTCCCCTCCTTTGTTCTACTATGAAGTTCCTTATCCATCTGCTTTTCCCTATTCTCTGCCCAACCCCCATCTGTCCTATTTTATAATATCACTGTTACACAGTATTTGTCCTTTTGTGACTGAGATATTTCATTCAGCATAATGTCCTCCAGGCTCCCTCATGTTGTGTGATGCTTTATGAGTTCGCTGTTTTTCCAGTTCATTCTCTTGACCTATGACCCTTTCTGCCACTGTTCCAACCCCAGAATATGAATCAAAAGAAGCACAAATTCAGCCTTGGCCATTGGTATTTTAAAAAAGGAAAGAGGCAAAGGAACCTGGACCTCAGGGAAACTTAGTAATTTCAGGCTTTAGTTACTGTATGTCTAATCCAGTCCTTACTGAATGCTTCAGATCTACTGATTTAAGAATTAACAATGATAATTAGTGATAATAATAATAATAATTCCCTATAAATGAAATAGTCCTTGGGTAGCACAAACAGTTAAGTGCTTGCCCACTAGCTAAGAGATTGTTGTTTTAGACCCATCCAGAGGTGCCCCTGAAAGGTCACAGCCCTGCAAACCCTGGGACGGTCCAATGCCACACACATATAGCATGCCAGGCATTAGAATCAACTCCTTGACAACTAACAACTTTTAAATGATGCAGTATTGTTTATAAAACATCCTCACATATGGGAATGTATCTGATCCCTACTGTGTCCCATTTTGAGGAAGCTGTAGGGCCCCAGTGGTAAAGAGTTAAACATTGGTAACCCAACGGTATGCAGTTCAAATCCACCAGTTGTTTCACGGAAAGAAGATAAACATTCTCCTCTCATGCGATTGACTACCTCTAGAAACCCACTGGAGGGTCAGCTCTGACTCCTGTTTTAGAGAACTTTGATGGCCTAGTGGTAAGGAGTTGCACTGCCAACCTGAAGACATGTGGTTGGAATCCACCAGCTGCTCCACAGGAGAAGAATGGGCCGTCTCCAGCCTGACTTACTGCCTCTGAAAACCCTCTCGAAGGTCAGCTGTGGATTGATTCTGACTCGACAGTGCACAACAAGTGTCTCTGGGTACTAGGTTCTGTGCTAAGGATCACAGTTAATATCATTTATTCCTTTAAGCAGTCCGTTGGACTAAGATAATTATTCCCATTTTACCGATGAGGAAACAGGAACTCAGAGAAGGCATTAGTAGCTAGTGATCTGCAGAGGCTCAATTCCAACACAAGTAATCTGAGTCCAGAGCCTCCCCTCCCACCCACCACGTACTGCCTCTGTGTTCATGACTCGTTTCCTCATCTGCAGAGCTAGGGAGTGGAATAAAGATACCCAGCTTGCAGGTTTGTCTTCCAGAACAGGTGAGATCATTAAAGTAGGCAGTTGTTAAAGGCTTAAGGGCAAGACCACGTCTGTTAGGTCCACCACCACAAACTCAGAGCCTGACATCATAGTGGACCGATAGTATGTACTTAGTAAATAGTTGGGGTTTGGGTTGTTTCTTCTTTTTCCTTTTAGCAAATAGTTTTTGATGGTAGAAAGGCCGTATCTGTGAAATGATACTTGGTTTCATGATATGCTCAGTTTGTGTATTGTTGGTGTCCAATTTCTCTATTTTTTGCTTGTATGCTTTTCTTGTGTCTAGTTTTTGAAAATTGACTCAATTTTAAAGTACAGTGCACTGTTACTACACAGTTACTCGTATGGGTAAAATAAGAAGTGATGATAATATAAATGCTGACAAGGATGTGGAGAAAAAGGATCACCCAGGTGCTACAGTGGGAATGGAGACAGTACCACCACGCTAGAAAAATAGCATAGTTTCTTTTTTTTTTTTTTGTACAAGCACAATTTAATTTATTCAGAAATTGAGGTACATTCACACTATGGAATACTACATAGCACACTCGGGAGGAACAATTTGAAAATTACTACATTACATGGGAGAGACTGGAGGGCATTATGCTGAGAGAAATAACTCAATCTCATAAAAACAAATACTGCATAAGACCATTATTGTAGCAATAGAAAAATAACTAGTAAAATGTGTATGAGAATCCAGGGAAGGGAGAGTGGAGTAGAGGGTTCAGGATGGGTTCACACAGTTTGGTCAGTGGAGGGATAAAGAGTAAAGGAAATGGAAAAGATAGAGTGGGCATCTGGAAAGACAGAGTAATTGTAGGCATAGTTCAATGGTTATTAATTTTATAAAATATAATGGGATTGATAATGAATAAGAGTGAAGGAAGACTTATCAACAACCTACGATATGCAGATGATACAACCTTGCTTGCTGAAACTGAAGAAGACCTGATTGCCACACAAGGACAAGGATAGTAGTCTTCAATATGGATTGAAGTTGAACATCAAGAAGACAAAGATTCTCACCACTGGGCCTATTGGCAGCACCATGATAGATGGAGAAGAGATTGAGGTTGTTAACAATTACATCTTGCTTGACTCCACAATCAACACTCTTAACATCAGCAATCAGGAAATCAAAAGACAAATTGCATTGGAAGTATATACTGTCAGGGACCTCTCCAGAGTGCTAAAAAGCAACAATGTCAGCCTAGAGACAAAAGTGCACCTAATCCAGGCCCTTTGTATTTAAAAGTAGGTTGTTATATTTTGGAGGAACATTCTTCTAAGTGGTACAGCACTTTTCAGTCAATGTGCTGTACTAGTTAACCTGGGATTGCTGAGATAGTGAACCTTGTGCCATTGTGGTGTCAAATGCCATAATGGTTACACATCTTAGACAGTGTTTGGTGGAGCTCCCAGTTTGACAGGTTTGGAACCAGGAGTGGCATCCACTTCCTAAACAGCTTGCCTCTGGAAAAACTGTGAACTTTGATAAATGGCGAAGGTTGTGGAAAAAATAGTAGGATAGTTTCTTCATTCTTTCTTTTCCCATTTCTGTCGAACAGCCTAACTGAGGCACAAGTCACATACCATTCAATACACCCGTTTATAATACTGGAAGTTTCTGACAAGTACAGTTAGCCATCTGACCCAGCAGCTGCCGTTTGGTAATTTGTCCCAAGAGAAATGAAAGTTTATGTTTGCACAAAACATGCGTATGAATATCCATAAAAGCATTATTTGTTTTCCAAACTGGAAACAGCTTGGATACTCTCCAGTGGGTGAATGGTTAAA